ACTTGATATGAAATGCAAAGGAACAGATAAAATTTTGAATTTTGCTCTAATTTGTTCACGTTATTTTTGGCTACCGTTGATTTTTTTTTTCTCCTTCTTTTTATTTACTTTTGTCAAAATTTATTAGTATTTGTTTTAGCACAGGTTTTTGTCTTGTTTAACATAAGCACTATTTAAGATTGTGAAAACTTCAATTATGCTGGAAGATTGCTGTGCGCTCCAGTGGTGACTTTTTTTTGTAAGTATCATTTCCGATGTTGATGTTAATTTTTAGCTTTTCGAATCAAATTTGGCTATTTACTTTTCCGTTTTTATCTTGATACAAAAATCTCTATTTCTTATTCAATTACTGATTGAAGGATTTGCAGTACTCTCAATTTTCAAGTAAAAGGTTGCCGCTAAAGCTCAAGTGGATGCTCCCTTCTACTTAAACAAAATTTTGGCCTTTCTTTGTTTCTTCGTTCAGCTTTATCATTTTCCTTAAATAATTTTGGGTTTCTTCATTGTGTAGGTCTATGCAGCTGCTACTGTCTTTCTTGTACCATTTTTGGAGAGGAAGGGAAATTTCCTGAGGTGAACTTCAATTTCATTATTTTTGGGTTGTTTTCTTGCGTTGCTTAGGTAATTTCTTTTAACCATGTAATGCATCAAAATTCATAAAAACACAATAATTTAACAGAAATTTATGGAAAGTTTCATGGTTTTAAGCATCTTATACCTTGTTTCACTTCCAATCTATATATATGGTAAATCACCCTTGCCGGAAGTCATAAAAGATTTCCTGTTTTGCGTTAAAATAGTTGGCTATGGGTTCAACATCAATTTTAGTGATTTTGCATACGTATAGTACAGGTTGTAAACCTTTTTTGAACTCTATTTTTAATGTGGAGTTAATATCGAAGGCAGTGTAGTGGAGGTAGGTTTTGCATGTTTCGTTTAACAATTTGTATCCTTTCATGTACTAAGTGATCCTCCCATGCATGGCAGGTTCATATAGATTCTGTAACAATTACTTATTAAGCTTCATTTATCCTCTTATATAGGTCATGCAAGCTGCACAACCTGTTAATGTGCCAGATTATCACTCTATAGACAGAAGCTTAGCTAAAAGGACATTACAGATGTAACTAACAAGGACTTCGATGCAAAAAAAAGGTTTCATAATTTCTTCATGTTATGTCTATAGATAATCAAACAATTACAGCTGTTTGATATACAAAAGATTGGTTTGCTGTTTGTTTTTTTGTTTTTTGTTTTCAAAACATTGATATGTTTGGAAATGATTAGAATTGGCCTAACTTTCGACAATAAGAGAACACCCCCCCCTTTTTAACACCAGTCATTAATATCTATTTTATTGTCTCTCTGCTATAAGTTTTAGTATTCCATTTTGATGGCTGAACTTTTTTTAATCTGTAAAAAGATTGGAAATGATTCAGATATGTTGTCTTCAATTGAGTCAAAAAGTGCATTGGTTGGGAATGAGCCAAAAAATGAAGGATTATTGTCTGCTACATCCTCCTCACATGGCAAGCTGCTGAAGGTTCGAACTGATACTGCTAAGCTTTTTTTCTTGCAAAGCCTTTTCTTTAAGCTAACAGTATTGATTGCAGTTGTACTATATGTTTCAGATTGTAATGCAAAAATACATAAGGAGCTATCCAAATGACTAAAAGCCTTTTTAGTGATAGCCTCTGGAGGTATCTCTCTCTGAATATGATCAATTCGTATATCAATAGATAGCCTTCTGTTTTGCCTTGTTGCACATTTTGCCACCATTAATCTGTTGTTCTGATTAGGACATAATTTACTCTCTTAATTTATTTTCAGAACTGGTGAATTGAGCTCCTTTTCATTTTGAGTTTGAATGAGAAACTTTGTTTTCATGCTTGTTTTCATGTAGTCCAAAGTTCTATGTTTTGTCAAGTACATTAGCCAACAAATTTTTTTTTCCAGATTCAATATTAAATGTATGTCTCAACGAAAAGTTACTTAGATATTCCTATCAATTGACTTTCTTCTTGATTAATGTGCTTGTTAGATTGAGTAGGCTTCTGATCTAATGCAATGCTTTGAAAACTAGCCTTAAATCAAGGAACCTAAAATAACTAATATTTTTAACTCTAAACTTTCATTAACTTTGGTGCAAATCTGTTAAGCCTGTCTTTTTTCTTTTCTTATTAATAATGGTGCATTTGTGATTTGTTGTTCTGGAATTAGCAAGCTTCAAATATTTTGCAAGAGTTGATCAACGTTAATAATGATGCAAAAGTTATATAAGCAATCCAAGATTAGGTCAAAGATGATAAGGCTATCTTTATTGAACAAACAGCAGTAAAATCTATTTGTGGAGTCTTTGATCACTTGTTTACTGCTCAAGTTGGCACTCCAAATGAGCAGCTTCTACAATTCATCTCTGTCCTGTTCCTAAAACTTAGTAAGTGTGCAATTCTTTGATTCTAGCAAAGATGCAATCTACTGAGTCTCATAGCTTGATAGGAATAAATTTATCAATGTCATAATTGAGAAGTAGCTTATAGTTAACAACTACAGGTGCTTGATAGCGTCTAACTGAGAACACTTATTTCTGCATGTTTCCCTGTCAGAATGGTTGTTTTTATTGATTTTCTTTTTAATAATTTCATTTTGAATATTTTTGTATGACATCTATGTTGTTTACTCGTTCACTGAAAAGATTTATATTAAAAGCGTACAATTTGATATCATCCTGAAATCCCCATGTGATTAGTTTTTTTGCCTACGTATCTCAGCAAAATAATTGAGATTGGACTGTATTCTTACAATTTACTTTTTCTTGGAAGTTCTGCCTCCGCTGTAGGTGCTCAGTTGGTGGCTGCAGTTGACGAGGCCAAAAGGTGATTCAGACAAGGGACATTCAAGTGGAGGAGGCAACTGTTGGTGATGAAGGGAAGGATGCCTCTATACTAGGTGTCAAGTCTGTGGCTGCTGTTGGAGAGGCTGAAGAGGTCAAAGAAGTGGTTGAGACGGGAATTTGAAGTGGAGAACACAACTGTAGGTGATGCAGGGAAGGATGCATCTAACACACCTATTTCTTTCCAACTTGATAGTGCCGAATTTGTTGCTACAAGGAGCAATGATGTGGTGGTTGACGAAGCTGTGGCCATGGTTGGAGGAGAAAAGCCCCTTGCTTGGCTAGACAATTTGCAATCAAGCGCTAATGAATCAGTCACAGTTGAGCAAGATGCAGAAATGGTGGTGATACCCGTGAAATCTTCTGTAGTGGTGACAGGAGAGGAGAAAGAGGAGTTACCTGACGGTAAAGAAGTAATAGTAGATGAGATTGTGAAAATCGAGATTAAGGTGGACATGGAGATATCCACTTCGGCTGCTGAGGTAACTGAAGGTGAAAATATTATGGGTTCACATGGTTTACAATTGGATGATAATGAACCTCCAAATTCAGCTAAAGAAGAGGTGGATAAAGAGATAAGTATTAGTGAGGAGACAGGTATTGTAGGCAACGCAACAATGGATGACATAAAAAAATGGAAGATAGTAAGAGTGGGGTGGTGGAGGAGGAAACTCTTCTAGCCAATGCGGAGATGGATGAAAAGAAGCAAATGGCAGCACCTGAAAATTCTGTGCCAAATGATTTGGAGTTTGTTGGTAGCAAAATAAGGAAAATATTCAGAGAGGAGGGGATTCCAACTGCGGACACTGAAATGGAGAAGAAGATTGACGCTGAAATGGTGACTACTAGGGTTAGTGATGTTGAATCCAATGCTAAAATAGATGATTCAGTGTCTGTTCCACAAGATGAGGAAGATGAAGACATGGTTGCTCAGGAGGGATCTGCTCTGGCAGAGACGGAATTGGAAACTGAAACAGGTGTTGGGGAGTCAAGCAAGGCTGCTGGAGAGAAGCGCAAGAGGGGGAAGAATTCTAAAAATTTGACTAATTCTAAAATTGGATGAAGAACTCAAAAGGTAATGGATGAGGATGTTTGTTTCATTTGCTTTGATGGGGGGGACCTTGTGCTGTGTGACCGGCGGTAAGTATGCTGGCTTTTCAAATTGAATTCCATTCCACTTGAAATATATTTCCTCTTGAAATTAACTAATGTGTTGAATATGATCCACATGCTTATTGTATCTACTTATATGCCTTCTTTGTAAATGATATTGATTCATTATTTTTTCAGGGGTTGCCCCAAGACATATCATCCTTCTTGTGTTAATCGGGATGAGGCATTCTGCCGTGCAAAGGGCAAATGGAATTGTGGTAAGTGCATCTGTCTCTTCTGCAAACATGGTTAGATGCGGGGATGCAACAATATTCACACTTAACCTTAAATTTGTTTTGGAGGGTTCAGATGCATAAGTGCAGTGCTATTCTCTTTAGTTGTTTATATGTGATTTTTGCTACCTACTTTGTGAAATTTATCTGTTCTTAAGTAGTTTTGAAAGCTTTATTCGCTTATTGTACTCACTCTCGAGAGACTAATTTAACATGCGGACAACCTAAGATACTCTGAAAACTGAAGAACGTGACTTATTGACATGTCCAATGAGACTAACCTTTAATTGCTACAAAATTGAATACCTCTTCTTACCTCAGTTGCGTGATAGTTTCTTTGCACCAACTGAAGCACACTTTTGGAATATCAAGAATAGGAAAGAGAACCTCAGGAAATTGCAGAAATGACTTGACTCGTCATGTTAAAAGGGTTGGGATTTGTATATCATACGAGACATGACATTTGAACATTATTCTTGATCAAGTTGATATATCAGCATGCTCTTTACAATTGACATTATTTACTATACATGTAGTTTGATAAAGGATGATTACTTGCTAACGTATACTCTGGGAAAATTGAGCCCTCCACTTCATGCTTTTATTTAATCGTTTTTCTATGCTGAAGTTTTTCATAAAATATGGTTGACTGATCTCTGCTTGCTCTTTCGTTTTTGGTTAGACATATTCAATTTGACGTTGTTGTGTTATATTTATGCAGGTTTGATAGCCTTTGACATGCACTCGTCCTTTTGTTGTATTTCAGGTTGGCATATTTGTAGCACTTGTCAAAAGAATGCCTATTACATGTGTCTTACCTGTCCTTTTGCCTTGTGCAAAAGATGTGTGAAAGATGCTGCTTTCTTGTGTCCTAGGAAATAAAGGCTTTTGTGAGACATGAATGAGGATTGTCAAGCTAATTGAAAGCTATGACAAAGACACTAACAATGTACTCTCTCTCTCTCTCTCTCGCTCCCCTTTCTTGATAGGTAGAATTACCTTTAATTTTGGTGGTAAGTACTAAATAGAGTAATTTATATTCAATTAGGCCTTGGTCAGACTCATTCTGATTGGTTTTCGTTGTATATTGGTCGTAATAGTTATTTTAACTTTTCTCTTGATAGGTTTGCTGGTTTGTTCATATTTTAATAGCTTCTATCTTTTTGTTATCTTTGTGGGCGTGCTTGGACTAATGCTTTCTTCGACTTCTTTATGAGTTTTCACCATATGCATCTAATGATTATTTGGTTCTTTTAAAACCCATAATACCTGCTATTACCATTCAAGGAGAGAATGTGAATTGGGTTGCCAAAGTTTCTGGCTAATAAACCTCTTTTTCCCTTTAGAATGTAATTATTTGAACAAAACTAATTTTATTCCTTTAACCCTTCAACATCAATTCTGTTTTGACACTATTGCATCTTTAATAGATTAATGCTTGCTTTTCATGTCTGGTTTTCTAGGCAAAATTGGATTGTTTGGTTTAGGTCTTAAAAATTGTCTTGCTGTAAAATTGTGTATCTTTTGATTAAACTTTGCTCATGATATGGTGGGGCTATTTGGTGTCTCTTTTAGCGAATTTTATGGTGGGGTTAAGATCTGTTGCTAATGAAGAGGAATCTGCTGGTGCGGTTGTGAGAGGAGGTGGTGAAGACATTTCTTCACCAGGCAAGACTGAATGGGCATCAGAAGAACTTCTGGAATTTGTTGTGCACATGAAAAATGGTGATAAATCTGTTCTGTCTCAATTTGATGTTCAGGCTCTCCTGCTTGAATATATCAGACAACTTTTATGTAGCACTGCAGTGACTTCAGCAATATATTTGAATCAGCCATTCTGCTGTATATGTAAATGGTACCAAACAATTCTTGTACAATATTCCAATGACTTTATTCTTTTGAATTATAGCATTGTATCAACCATTAAAAAATATCACAATAACAAATAAAATTTTATTAACAGGTCTCAAGTTCCCACGCCTTGCGTGGGAAGTCATTACCTAGTATATATATATATATATATATATGGTTATAAACATCTCTAAATTCATCAAAACACACATTAACCAAAATGGGTTCCAAAGCCCACATTAGTTCAAGTACTAACAGCCATTATCCATCCAAACAATAGAGTACTAAATTCACATCAGTTCAACTAGTAATAGCCATTACGCATCCAAAAAAACAAAGTACTCTTTCCAAACAAAAACATAGACTAAAGCAGCAATTTGTGTCAAACTGAAGTCATCTTCATGAGCATATCCAAAAGCCAACCTTTTTCATCTCCTCAAGAGCATTTAATAGCATTGTACTGCATTGAAAGAAAAGTATCATATGCATTAGAATCGATTTCAGTCAAAAAAATGCCATTACAAGCATACACTATTGAATTTGAATGAATAGTCATACTGAACAAAAATCCAATTAAGTCAATATGATAAGCTCCCACCAACATCATGTACAATGTCACACCACAGGACCACACATCCGCAATCTAGAAAATAGACAGCAATTACAAAATGAATGAAGACCTTCTTGAGACAAAACTATTTAATGAGCAGAAAGTAGGTAGCAGTGCATGCCTATTAAGCAGGAAGAAATGAACTGAACAAGCATAACCACTAGCACAAAGTTTACAAGATACTTGAGACAAGGGCCATATTGCTGATTTAGAAGAAACAGTACAAGTGATCCTTTGGCAGCTTTGGCTGACTCTTCTTTCCTACTAAGTTAGGTGCTTCATGATAACCGGTCCGCATACAGTTTGAGACTTTGTATCTTAGAAATTGTTCTACTTAACTATTGCCTTTGATCTTCATCTACTTTGCATCTGGTTTATCTGTTGATATATGAAGGTGGAATTTGGACTTTGTTATAAACTTGGATTGAAGCTCCAAACTTCAATCTTTGGATTTATCTGTTTTTTGTTTCTTAGAAACGGAGACAAGGTCCATCACTTTTCTTTTTCTTTTTTTTTTTTGGTAGTTGATTAAACAGCTATACACTTTTTGTGAAGATAACAATCAGAGCACAAGATTTGGTAGAATTAAAGGCTTCGTTGTGTAACTTTTCATTTTTCAGATATTCATAAGTCAAAGTTTGACAAATTCTAAAAATCCTCTCCTTTTTAGATACACTTTAGCAGCACTTTTTGTGTAGTATCATATATTAGTAAGCTATTACCATCTAAGTCATCGACAAGTTAAGAGTGCACAAATAAGGATAAATGAAAAAGTAAAGTGAAAATTTCAATTAAGCTTCACTAAAATCACTAAAGATAAAAAAAAAATACTTCTTCCTTAGTGTATCGATAAAAAAAAAATCAGACAAATATTGATCTAATAGGATAGTCTTCTAAAACTATGCTTACGGTGCTTACAAAGCCAAATAAAAGGAAGGCTCCTGCAAAAGATACCAGTTCGGAAACTAACCAAAACTTGTCCATAGAAACCATAGGAATACATCTAAATAGGATTACAGTCCATAACCATTGTTTGTACATTCAATTGTTTCATCTCTATGTGGGAGATGCAACATCAGATGTAACTGAGGCGGCATAAAGAATTTTCCAAACTTGGAGAGAATCCCTTGAGGCAAGGTTATTAGATGTAGTCACAACTCAATTTTCTCAATATAGTGCTCCAATTTGTCTCAAGAAATATCAATGGCAAGAGATACAAGAACTAAATTTTAGACCAACTCCTCTGACTTAGCCATTAACTTATCTTGTAGCAGATCAGACATGAACAATTAACTGCACATGTTAAATGATGTCTAAACACAATTGCTAAATGAAAGAGAATATTAGTAACTCATTACATAGCCGTTTAGGTTGCTGCTGATTCCTTCTATAAGCATACTAAAGATGTTTACCAATGCTATGTAAAGGTAAACAATATCATTTTAGTTGAATAAAGACTCCACAACTAAAGAGGCTACATTTTCATGCAACAGTTGAGATGGATAACCAGCATGGATTGCCAAAAATGTTAACAACCAAATGATACTTGAATCTTTAATCATCCTCAGAAACACACATCACCAGGAAGGAGATGCAAAATCTGTTACACCAGAATTTACCTTTTACCAGATTTGACAGACCATTTTCCTTCAAACTTCTTGAAATCACCATCAACTATCGAAAACTGGAGTTCACGGTCATTTGCCTGAATAAATTTTATTTGCAAATAGTTAACTGAGATAAAGTTATCACATTAGAATGCCTAGTTACTGCTACCTACTCTATTAGAATGAAAATGCAGTTTAACATCTCACATTATATTACTTGCAATAACTACTTTGTTGTCTTTGCCTTTTGTAATCTCACAAAGGTTTAACAAATCACGTATCACCATCACAAGAAACTTGTTTTCCTGCCACAGTTGATGCAAAAAATAAAAGTAAGAAAATGGTGAAAAAGAAAAAGAACCACAAAACTGAAAGTTATCCAAACACAAGGTCTCATTCTGAGAAGAAAGAAGCCAGAAAATAGTCACTCAGCGAAAAAAGACTAAAAAACAGGAAAAATATACAGCATAAAGCAATACACTTGTTCCTCCATCATTGATCCTGATATAGATCCTATTGCCCAGCAAGGTATTTAGGTTGTTCCATATCCAATCCTCACTATTCAGCTGTTTACTTAACTTCCTCAGCATCTGTTAACAAGATTCATCATACATGTCAACACCTTTTTTAAAAAAATTTTACATGTCAACTCCTTGAACAAATATAGAAGAAAATCATAATAACTATAGCAGTTTCGACAAGGAAAGATTTGAGCCCCATCATATTTAGAACCAAAATAACAATACTTAGTTTGCAGTTTCAGTTGGCATTACAAATGTATAAGAAGTCACCATTCATTACACTAAAAGCTTCACCTATGAGTAGAAGAAATACTCAACTAACTAGAAAAAATTCAGACATGAGTTCCACATAAGTCAGTGAATATGAGCATGTCTTAACTATAGAAGAACCTAACAATTGAAAATAAATTCACAACCTGAGCTGCAGCACCTCCAAGTTCAATAATACCAGTTGTTTGCTTAGGATCACCTCCTACAGTGCCAAGGGCATAATTAGCAACGACCCAGGCATATACACCTTCATCAGAACCTAAACAATGGATCATCCAACTTTAGACTTTCAAAATATAACAAGAATTAAATGCTAACAAAACTAGTTTATAAGAATTAATATGACTAAATAAAAGCCCATATAGCATTGCCAAGCTATTAGATAGGAAATGCAGCAGTTAGCATGAGACCAACATCCAAGTACATTTTACCCAGAATTCAAAAATCTGAATCTACCTATAATCTGGCCTTACTTACTTAAAGTTCAAATTTTGACTCCTTAGCAAGCACATTGTCACTTGAAGTTGAATAAACCAAAAAGATAAGCAATAACAAACACCTAACAAAGAAGTTATATCCACTCAGACAGGGTTGCAAAAGTTCACATTCTCAATGTCCAGATACGTCACTAGCATACTAACTAGAGCAAAGCACTAGAATTTCCAACACTCTTACCATTGATTATACAAAACATGCTTCAAAATGCAGATCAGAGAACCAAAATTAAAAGAAATCCACAAGCCAAATGGCATCATACCGGAAATAACGGAAGCCCAATCATCGTAAAACCTGAAATCCGAGCCCCTCAACACGGTTCGGCAAGCCTCCAAAATCCTATCTTGAACTCCTTTCTCCAACATCCTCAAACCAGCAGTTGCCATTAGCCTAATTTCAGTCTCCCTCCAATACTCCGAGGTACCCTTTTCCTCCCAAACTCCACCAGCTCCGCCACCGCAGAAGCAGCCCTCTCGGCTCCTCCGCAAAATCAGACAACCCTGGCTGTCCTTAGCCTTCTTAGCATCAAGGCAAGCCCCAATTTTCTTGAGAAGACTGATAGCATTGGAGGTTTTCTCCATGGCCTCAGCAGAATCGGAGATCACACAGGGGATTTGCAGGACAGACTCGATCCGGTGGCTGCGGGCCATGACAAGGGAAGGCACTGCAGAGGCGGCGATGGCAGAAACCACGGCATACCATTTCTTGTTAACTGGGACCTGCGGTGCCAATGGTGCCAGATCTTGGTCGGAGCAAACATGCGGCCGCCGCAGCACATGTTGCCATAGACACCCTGGCCAGCACGGTGAGTGCCACCGCCAGGAACACGAGAGATACGGGAAACAGCGAGACCAGCACCCCAAGACTCGGCGGAGGTCTGGTGGCCGGCGGACCTAGAGACAGCTTAGGGTTGGCGAGAGTTCTTGGAGATGTCGCGATGAATGTCTTGCTAAAATGATGTCCGAAATTTTTCTAAGTATTATGAGTGTTTTTGTTTGACTCTTGCTAAAATGACGTCGTTTCTGCTTCTTTTGTTTACCCATCTCTACTCGTTCAATTTTGTTCAATTTTTACCTTCCCCCGCCTGTACACCAAATTTCAGCTTCCCCGCCTCTACTCCAATTTTGAGCTTCCCACTTCCATTTTAGCTTCAGCCAAAAAATAACGCTTTCAAGTGACTTTTGTACTAACTATTTGGACCTTTCTTTACAAAAACAACGTCTTCTCTAGTATATCTCTTTTTCTTTCTCTATCTTTGTGTAATTAAAGTTTTTTATTATTTTGAGTTTTTAGCTCATAAGTTGTATTAAAACTTTATTTGTTGCATTAAAACTTTAGAATATGAAAATTTAGTGTTTTTTGATAATGTTGTTTACTAACACAGGTTTTTTTTATCTCTACAAAAAATTAATGTCCAAAAACTAAAAAGCTTATTAAAAATACGTTTATGATTCAAAAAAAAATCTTTTGATGCAAATATTTTTGGTATTATTTTAATAATTTTATGAAATATGTACGAATTATGGTTTGACAAGACCTAACAATACTGTTTAGTTGATCAAATAACCAAAATAATTTGCTAATATATGCATGATACACTAAATGTTTTTGGTACAAGTACCGATTCATAAACCATAAACAATGTGACTATTGTAATTAATAATAAACTCCAGTCATCCAATTGGTTTACTAGTTGATCAAATAACCAAAATGGTTTACTAATACATGCACGAAACACTAAATCTATTTGATACATGTACTGATTCATAAACCATAAACAATTTGATTATTGTAAATTGTAATACATAACAAACTCCAGTCATGGAATTGTCAAGATTTTTACTTAATTTCATATTAAATTTTGTTATTCTGTTCCATTATTTTCACACTATGTTAATCAGTAATTTCCCATATGTTGTCAAGAGAACTAAATAAAGAATTCATTATATTTTTTAACTTTATAACAAGGTATTAGCTATGTTTGGAATAATTGAAAAATAGGAAAACATTATTTTTTACAATAAATACCTCATTTTGCTAATGATAAACACAACTTAAAGTGTAAAAGCATAGGGTGGCATAATAAAATTAATAAAAATTTTCTTTATCACATACGAGACTAATTTGCAAAAGATGAGGTGTCATGGTAAAGTTAATGAGATTAGTTTACCAAATACGGGGCTAAACTATAAAAGTTCGAGTGTCATAATATAATTAATTAAATTTACTTGCAGCATATGGGCCATATAGAAAAAATTAAGGTGGTATATGGGGTTAAAATATAAAAGTTAGGGTGTCATAGTAGAATTAATAAAATTTGTTTACAACACATGGGTCATATTGAAAAAATTAAGGTGGTATATGGGGTCAAAATGTAAAAGTTAGGGTGTCATAGTTGAATTAATAAAATTTATTTACAACACATGGGCCATATTCAAAAAATTAAGATGGTATATGGGGTTAAAATATAAAAGTTAGGGTGTCATAGCAAAATTAATAAAATTTATTTACAACACATGGGCCATATTAAAAAAAATTAAGGTGGTATACGGGGTCAAATTGTAAAAGTTAGGGTGGCATGGTAGAATTAATAAAACTTATTTACAACATATGGGCCATATTGAAAATATTAGGGTGACATAGTAGAATTAGCGAAAGTGAGATGGCAATAAATTATTTGGACAGTGACGACTAGTTGTTGTCACTAATTTAGAACTGGCAACCATATTGTGACGATATTTTAAGTTGTCACTGTAGGACGAGTTTCAGTGACAACATATTTTCTAGTCGTCACAACAGCGATCTCCCGCCACACTGGATAGTTGCGCGCCATCCATATTGTGACGACTTATCTCGTGTTGTCACTATTGACGGGTGAACCCACGATCAAGTATGACGATATTAAAAGTCATCACTAAAGTATTCAATTGTGACAACTTTCTCTCTTGTCGCAGAGAATGTTGTCACAAAAGGCCAAATTTCTTGTAGTGAAAAGAACTAAAATATGATGTTTATAAAGAAAAATAATAATATAATAAAAAGTAAGACAGAAGATCCGTTACGATAATTTGATTGTGTACATGTATGAATACAAGTTTTAAAACATTAGCACTTCTGTCCTTATAACGAGTCAATTAACCATAAGCTCTTTTTATTAATTAATCATAGGCTGGCTGCCCTTTTCCCTACTGTTCCAACGACTCAAAAAATAAAAAGACGGAAGGACATACATAATAGAAAAATTAAAGGACAACGCGTGACGGTGATTAAATAATTGTGATTGTAAAGTACAACTCATGATGGGCATGGTTCAATTTTTAATTGAAGTGATGAGATTGAATTTGGGAAAAAAATTTTAAAAAGAACAACAAAATTTGTTGTGCATGTATGTAATTTTAGTGCCTATATTTATTGTTTATTTTTTTAAAAGGACAAAATTTGTTCTACATGTATGTAATTTTAGTGTCTAAATTTATTATTTATTTTTTAAATATTTATATTTGTTATGATAGTATACACATCGCTGGATGTAATTGATACGGACAATTGCACAAGTCCCATATCTAGAAAGATGTATAACTTCATTTTTTTTTGGGAGGGGGGGGGGAGGGTTAGTATTTCATGATTAAGCTTCCATAACCTTTTATGAACCATCAATGCACATGATCTTGAGAACAGCTAGGTTGTGCAAAAGTTTGGCAAAATGGCAACCAAAAAACAAAAAAGCCAAAAATGGCAACCAAAAGGGTCAATTTCAGTCACTCTTCCTAAATTTTAGGTGACAAATACCTTGCGGTCTTCTGATTATTTATGGAGAAGATAAATCAATTCCTACCAACCCCGCCTCCCCCCCCCCCCCCCCACAGTCCCCCAACAAAAAAAATAAATAAATAAAGGACAAAATAAACTCTTTTGTCTCGTCATGATTGAGCCAAATCAGACACAAAGTCTTTAAAATATTTTTGTCTGAACTTCCTCCTTCATCAAAAGCCTGTCTTGCCAAATCCTTCCACTTTTTCTCATTTTTCCTAATCTCTTGTCCTTTCTTCCCGTCCATCACTAGGTTTATGCATTGACTAATCACATCTCTTCTAACAATTCCATTTTCATCTGGCCGAGCCTTGATTCCCATTTTCCAAATGTCGATTACAAACTTGGCATTTGTGCTTTGATCTGTCCATTGTGGCATTGCTATCATCGGGACTCCCAAACTTAAGGCCTCCAATGTTGAATTCCACCCACAATGAGTTATAAAGCAGCTTATAGATTTGTGGGCTAAAACGTCAAGCTGAGGGCACCATGAGATTATTAGTCCTTTGCCAAATGTTTCTTTAACAAAGTCTTTCGGCAGCTTCTTTGACTCTGATTCTCTAACCACCCAGAGAAAATTATAGCTGCTAGCTCTCAAGCTCCATGCTAATTCTTCCATCTGCTTAACTTCAAGTTCTGCCAAACTTCCAAATGATACATAAACAACTGAACTGATTGACCTTTCATTTAGCCATGACATGCAAGCATTTGTCATTGGCTTAAAAAGATTGAGACCATACTGCTTGTCATCTTCAAGGCGCTTTTCTAAGTACATGGATGGAATAGTTGGTCCAATTGTCTTTACCGGTAGGATTTTTGCCATCCAGTGAATCACCTAAGCAATATGTAATACAAAACCAATAAATTCATAGTAGTAGACAAAATGCCACTTTTTTTAGTTTTTAGTTAACAAACACCTAACTGCCCACTTGCGTAGCTCGGTTGGTCACGGCCCTCCTCAGGATACTTTGTTGATCCCTCACCAGCATGGTTCGCCATCGCGGGTCGCGGTTGCGTCGCGGTCTCAGTTGTTCCACGTCCGTTGCGGCATATCGGTTGAATATCGGGTGATATGAACATTATAACACATTAAAGTTTTCCAAAATTGTGAAAAAATTACTAAAATTACAAAATACTGAAAAAGACACAATTTAAAAAAATATCGGAATCGACTCCGAGTTGACTTGGATATATCGACGCGATATCATGTATCACGGATTCGAATCGGTCAATATCGGCCGAGTCAGAGCGAGTCGTCGCGGATATGATGATATCCACGATTCGGGGATCGGTATCATACCGGTCCCTTCTATTCCAGATACAACTCGGCCGATACGTATCGGTATCGGCCGATATGGCGAACCATGCTCACCAAGGTTCGAGTCCTAGGGTTAACATGTTCAAGGGGAAGGGGCCTCTCCTTTTGAATCGCGGGGGATTAGTCGGATCCGGCTTACTCGAAGCCCGGATACCCCCTGCGTCCAGAAAAAAAAAAAAAAAAAAAAAGAGTTAACAGACACCTAACTGGCATGGTCATTCAAGACTTGGGTTCCCGACTGTAATATGTGTACGTATTATTAGATATATTGGCCGGAGGGAATCTTGATCTAGTGCTTAAAATTCAGCTCTCAAAAAATTAGAAATCTTAAATTCAAATTCTCCTTCTCCCTCCCGGGCTTCTTAAATCTAATAATTTCCCTATTAAAATACGAAAATATAAAAAAGACGTATTGAAGTACGCTTACCTCTTCCTCCAACCGTAAAATGTGTTGAAAAAGATCCAGTCAGCTTCTTCAAAATTTTCCACTTGGTCATGTACAATCAGCTGTGAACTTGCTGGATATAGACCAGGATTAGACACAAAAGAGGGCAGATCTGAAGCTAATAGTGGTCGCAAACCGGGAATGTCCACTTCAGTCGCCTCTAGAGGAAGCTTCAAAAGTCCTTTGTGGACATGGTTGTAGATGTTATTGACAGCACAGGATTGAGTGAAGAACACACCCGCACGTACGCCAAGATCCTTGGCTACATCTAGACACCAAGGCAAGAATGCATCATAAATGATACAATCAACAGGACGGCCCGAATCTTGAAGCTTCAAGACTAGCTCAGTCAGAGTTTCTGAGCCAACCTTTTGAAACCTAGGAAAGTATATTTC